TGTCTGAACCAGTCAACACAGGAAAAAATGTCTGATTTTCATTTGCAGCCATCTCATGTGGATGCAACACAAGAGGGGATTAAGGCAGCCTCTTTGTGAGATTTGGATCTGCATACTTTTCCAGACACAGACAGAGGCTACTCACACACATGCATGCATGTGGTACTACAAGGTACTGACCTGACTTACAGTACCAATCAATATCTTTATGCTTTTTGGTAACATGCAGCAACTTAAAGACAACAACATTTATAGATGATATCAATATTTTATCAATCCAGAATGTGGCTTTTCTAATAAACAAATGCTTCAGATTATGTGACTGTGTGAGTGCTTGGGAGTGCGAATGGGTGAATGGGCAAGTAGTGTGAGAGCGCTTTGAGTGTGCTGTAATAGGAAAGTGCTATACAAGTACTGTATAAGACCATTTACCATTCAGTACATTTTCATTAGATACAGATACTTGCTATTTGTATCAGTTGTTATCATACTCACCCCTCTTGAAACTGGCACAACTTGTAAGCTTCCAGATGAATTTGTGATAAGATAACATAGCAAAGGAACAGAAATGGAAAAAACTGTTTTTGCAGTTAAGAGATGCATTGGTCTGATAGCAAATCACTCAGTGGTTTGTTGGGCTCTTTTTCCTTTCAGTCATTTGCTTTGGACAATTTTTCACTTCATTTTTTACAGTAACACAAATAAAACAAAAGGTAAACAATCACAAATTCCCAAGAAATATTTAAAGTTGTGTATCCATTTTCTTTTCCATCTTGATCACAGTGAAATGCAGATAAGTCAAACTCCACCAAGAATGCTGAATATCCTTATGTATTGAAAAGAGCATGAGAACAAATGAGAAATAGTGACCAAATGAAAAGCAGGTCATCTCTCCAGTCGTTCTGGTCATGCGTCTGGAGTGTTTTCCCAGGTCACGTGTTTGTGTGCGGAACCAGCTTATGATGTCGGTGTGCATGTGTTTATATGCATGTTTGCTGTTTTCACTGGGTTTCAAGACTTTGGCACATACAGTACTCTATGAGTTACTCTGCAAGGCACTCAAGTTCCTTCAGCAGTCTCAGGTTCTGTCAGCTTCACAGAGCCGCTGCTGCTCACACACAGAGGGAGAGAGATCTAAACACAACTGTCTGAATTTCCCCAATTTCTGGGCTCTCTGTTTGTTCTTCCTCGTCTTTTATTCTTCTTCAGTGGTGTAGTTTGCTGCAGGTTTACAGGAATGGACTGTTCACTATCTCTTTAAAAGCACAATATAAACATAACAATAACATGGTGACTTTTAAGACCAGTTCGATCATGGTGTACAGCAATTAACCCAACAGAAAAATCAGTTACAGCAGTTCAAATTTAAACTGTTTCCGACATAACAAATAAACAACTGGTAATTACCATCAAATAAATCTCCAAAGATCCTGACAGAGAGACCACAGCTGCACATTTCTTGAAAGTCTCACTTCATGTCCAGGTGTTTGTTCAAGCTGGTCAGAGTTACAGCAAACTTTTAGGGGCTCAGAGCTCTTCTGTGGGTCAAACGCAAGGGCTTTGGCTTATGAACTGCCTCCATGGCTGTCACTCTCTCTGCGCATAATCACACTTCATGGGCGCTTACTAGCCAATCAGGGCTCAGTTAGTTTCTGCTGCTGCTGCAGAATGTGAAAAGCTGGAGGCTTTGTGTTCAGTGGCTTTTGTATACACTGTACTGTATGCGTGTGAGAGACAGAGAAAGCCAGGCTCCAATCAAACATGGAGCTACCTTTCTTGTGGCATCTTTGACAAATGGCTCACCCTTTTGAAGAGCAGTCAGCTGCACTAGCCATCAAACTCCCAGCAGTGAAAACAGTGGGGCCAGCTCAGTCTCATCTATTCATGGTGTCACTGAGCGCTCCCTGAACTGCCTGTCCAGTTACAAATGTTACACTTGTGTGATACTTGTATACAGTGTAGGCCAGTGTTTGCCAGCACAGTCAGTACCGAGCTACAACGGCCCAGCGGGAAACACAGTCACCAGCACACCTATCCCACCGAAGTCAGAAGTAAATTTACATTTAATATGTGATCAAAAATGGAAATGCATGCATTTTTAATTGGCAGTACTGTATTAATAGCACTTAGAGGACGTGGTAACTCTCTCATTGATTGAAAACACACACCTTTCAACTTCCCAGAACATCTATTGGAAACTTTAAAACCCATCCAAGTGAACACCAAACGAGCTATACAATCTCATTAGTATCCAAAACTTATTCAGCCACCAAGAACAGTAGTTATGTGTGCACTGACCTCCACCAAAAGGTGCCCATATGACCCTACGAATTGTTTTCACCCAGTCTTCCATGTCATTCTGGGTGTTGGCCATAAGAAGATAAGTCTCATGGTTGGCTGTCATCCGCTCTCTGTCTCCCCCTGTTGAAATAAATGAGAGGGAAACATACATTAACATTTTGTAATGTATACCGCACCCAGGTACTTTTCAGTAGCGAATATACTCATTGAAAATTCATGAACAATCTGAACAACCTTCAAAACACTGTAAAAGTTAAAGATCCCCTCCAAATATGTTGTTCAGCCATGCTTGGTATAATAATTTGTCTGACTTGTCTAAAGGTGAGTACAGAGAAACTTTCCTCCTTCATCATTTGAATGTGAAAACAACTTTCTAGTGTCAAGCTCTGATCATACATCAATCTGCACAGTGAAGGTCATACTGAGCCAAGTAACAACAAGTAAAACAGATATGACTGGAACTTGAAACGTCCTTACATGTCACGACAACGTACTTGAACCTAACCCAAACCAGTAGTGTCTAAAAATACTGGACACAAACACACAGAAATAAATCAAAAGAAATGTTTATATCCAAGGGCAGAAGTGTTTGTTCCGTCAGAGACAGGCTCTGTATCCGGATTCAACTTGTGGAAAATGGCCACAAGGTCTCTGCTGTTATGTGATAGCAGGCAAACTGGAGTGGAGGCTCTGGACCTGTTTCACATAACAAACCTGGTTGCAGCGATTACTACGGAAGCATTTGCACAACTTTGCTTCAGCTTTATTAAGATGAAAAACAAACAAACAAAAAAAACCAAACCAAGCAACAACTTGTCATTTCAGAGAGATGCACCTGGTCTGTTGTCGGAAGTGATGAGATATTAAGAGACAAATGATGAGTCACATAACAGTTAAATTATTCATGACCTTGACCATCGTGGATTCTGCTCCACTGACTGCGTCTCAGGGTGAGATCTGTGTTGCATATAAATACTCTTTTTAGACTACAACAAAACAAGACATGCTGATTAAAGGTTCAGGGTCATCACTATGACGTCCACAGGATGTGAAATCTGCTACAGAGAAAATTAATGTTCTCAATGAAAACAAATCAAGAGTCATTAGTTCCTTTAATTTTTAATACATTTAAAATCTGTTGTTTCAAGAAAGCTGTCCTTTACAGTGTTTCAACAAACTATTAAAATGTAAAGTCATTATTATCAATGTTACTATTATGAATTGGAGAAAATGATTTAGAATTTAAAATGTGTACAGTTAAATTGAATGAATGCTTAAATGCTGTAAGAAGCACAGTGCAAAACAACAGTGAATAGGTTGTCCTGTTGGTAGACAGCTGTGTGTTTTTGGTGTCACAGAGAGGGCAAATGGTCAAAGTGCAGGATGGCCCCACAGTTTAGGAGCTAAACTTTGATTGACCTTTCCTGTCAGTGTTGACGAGATCTCATTAGCAAGCAGCAGATGCCTTTGTGGCATTTGACATGTTCATAATGTTTATTCACTACAGGCTCGCCCCACAAACAACTCTGACAGTAACGAACTTTAAGACCGCCATGTGTTCCACATAAAATGTGTTCCACATAAAATGTGTTCCACATAAAATGTGTTCTTATTACATGTAACTGGAGATAATTTCAGACATTCAGGGTTACGTTGCTGTCTTCTTCTCATTTCCACACCAGCAAGTGCTGCACAGTGCATTACAGTCCATGGTTTCACCCAATGATCAAGTAAAATTATTCATGACATGAAACTTTTTATTATAATTACAACAAACTGAATAATTCAAATGAATTTCCCTTTTTTAAACTAAGTACAAAAATCACTGTCAGTATCTCCACAGAGCACTAGTATCATGAAAACAGGCTCAACACGTTTTCATAAAAGTGATTTTCCCGCTGTACATGAATTACCCAACCATTTCTTTTTAGAAAGCTCCGTTACTGGTGAAAATGTCACAGTGCTCAAACTGGTCAGTCAAACCTGTCAGATGGATTCCATAGTGACACTGGTTAGTCACATTGGCAATTTGGCACACAGATCTTTCAGTCACGGATGTGCCCACCCTGTCAGCATTGTGTGATTGTCATGCAAAGTAACTGTGATTTCCTGGTGTCCCTGTGAAGGCTTTTGTCCACATTTAAAACAAATCAGCTCTAAACCTCTGTTTCCATTACTTGCATGGAAAGACAGTATTTCCTCTTGATTGTGAAGCTGTTAAATAAGCGTGCAACAGGATTATACAGCATACCACGCCGTCAGCACACACTCTCATTCCTCCTGGCATTTCCTGTTGATGCTCAGCTTTTTTCCACAGTGGCTGATTCGGCCGCACTGTCGGTGAAGACGGGTGAGATGTCAACCACTCTTAGCATATCGACAACTTCCTGGACAAAACCCTCACAACTGTCATTACAAAACCTAATACTGAGATTTCTTTTTGACTGTGGAGCCTAGGAAACACTTTTCTAGTGCTAAGTATTTTAGAATACCCCTCTTCATAATGCCTCTGGTTAGAAAACATATCAGGTACAACAACAGGATGGATCTTCTCTCAAGCTGTTTGAAACAGAGACATGAATCACAAACCTAACCCAGAATGGTGGGACCACATTAGAAGCTAACAAAAGAAACACAGCAGAAGAATACTAGTGTCTGTGTGTGTACAGTAGGTTTTGTTGTCTGGACGAGCTTGCCTGCCTTGTTGAGGAACTAGGATTTACTTATAATAGATGTGTCAGCCTTCAGCCAGGCGCCTCGCCTAGTGTTTGCGCCCAAGAGCCTAATATATCAAACAAAGAGGCTTATACTATATGAAAGAAAAACCAAGTCTAAGAGCTGCAAATGATTAAGTCATTAATTTGCAATGACACAGATGCTGTGGCCTGCACCAGACAATGATAAATATTGCCCCATTTGCATTTTAATATAAAACAATAATAGCTTTTTTAAGGCTCAAGTGATAATTGTTTGGAAAATCGTGCATATTCCATTCACATACATCCAGCATTCCCACATACATAAGTCAGAATTGTCTCCTGACCTCAGACATGTAAAGGTCAATCAGTGATTTTACATCTGGTTAAGCTGAAGCTACATCTCTGTCAAGAACAAATATTAGTATTTTAATCCCCCATCTGCAGCTTCCTCAGTCATCAAGATTTATAAAGAAAGGAGAAAGATAAATATCCTCTTGTCACCTGTGGGTAAATTCTCAGTCTCTATCTGTCCATTAAATAAAATGACTGGAGGCTGTCTTTTGACAGGCTGTGGTAAAGCTGCCTGCAAGTATTATTCTCCACCACACAATTCTCACATTACTCAGTGTGACTGGCACCGTCTCTAAGAAACTCCACAGTTATTCCCTCTAAAATGAGCCCAATCCTAGCAGGAGTTCACCAACAGAGACAGTCTAGGATCTTCACTCATAGCATGACTATACCTGTAGAGACAAGCGTGGCAGCTGCCACAATTCCCCTGATTCACCACGCTTCAACACACTGCTCCAAAGTTTTACAGACTCAGTGGTGAAAGTCAGCTTTACAGTTGCATGCAGTCTTGTACTTCAGAGGACAGCTATCATTAAAGAAGGCACACACATCAAAAGTTCGTATTCACAGTGGAAGTTCAGAAAAAGAGAACTGCCAGACCATTTCACTCTCAAATGTAATTCTGGTGACAGTATTATCTGTAGTGCTACGGTAAAATGACAGATTACTTAGAGAAAATCTTGCATTCCAGCAGCATCGTGCTACAGCATAACCACAAACCATACAATTCACCTCAAAACTGAATACGACACTAAAGTAAATTTGACTGAATGTGTGCTATTTTATTACATAAAGCTTATTAATAACACACCTCGGAGTAGCTGTAAACAAAACTGTAACATATCACCAGCAACCTCTCAGTGATACATGTCCCATTATTTATAGTTTCACTCTGTAATTACTGTTGAGTGCAAACAGCTCACAACTGCTCCTTGCAGTTGTGACCACTGGCTTTAATAAGCAGCCAAAGCTCAGCTGCAGACTAGTATTTAACTAATAGCTCAAAACAGGTGGGAGACAACAAAGGGTCCCACTGTGCTGTAATTGCATACAAATACCTGGACCCCTGATACTTCACTCTGACCTGTACCTCTGTAAGTGAACCTTGTGAGCCTACATGAATATAAACATGAGCTAGATTTATAGATTCTTCTTGCTTCAATAGATTCTTTGGGAAATGCTTATGTGCTAGCTTGCCAAGAGGTCAATGAAAAGAGAGACGTGACTCTCATGTCCGTTAAGTATAATAGATGGTTTGCTTAGATTAGCACAAAGGCTGCACGAAGTCACTATCTAGCATAACCACAGCTAATATAATCTAACATTTTGGTGCTGGTTGCCGGATTTTACCTTGTATATGACAGATGTGAGGGTAGTGTCAATCTTCTCATCGGACTCTCACTCCACAAAGCAAATACAAACATTTTCCATAATGTAAAACTACTCTTAGGAACAATACAGGAAAGAGGTTACATCAGAAACCTCATAAAAACTATGGTATCTCCCCACCTTCAAACTAGTCTGGCAGTGTAACAAATCCATGAAATCCTCTACTGTATACAAAGGTATATCAATCAAAATAATTAGCCTGATTTAATTTAGGCACGTATTGTCCAAAAGGGAGTGAGTGTTGAAGATTAACAAATGAACAAAAGTCGAATACAGTTTGTGATAGCTGTTGTAGTTATGTTAAGTCCTTCCAGACTTGGATTGTGCTGCTTGCCAAGTGGAGGAAGCTGCTGCTGCTGACCCAGAAAACAATGCACATGCTGTGTAACTACCTTGTCTTGCTTTAAATGACAAAAATATGTCATCACTTTCCCAGTGTGTGTGTATATGTATGTGTGTGAACAGTGGGAGAGTCACTGACTAGGATTCATCAGTGTTTGTTCTCTCGTCTGCAAGAGAGTCTTCTTGTTTGCATGCAAGCAGGGGCAAGTTGAGATTCAATATTGTGCCTAATGATAGTTTTCTCAGAAGTCTGCACATCATAAATACCTCCAGCAGAACATAAAGTGTCTCACAAGCAACAAGCCACACTCCACAGGAACATTCATTCACAGGGAATGA